CCAAAATCCCTGCTGCAGTGTGTGCAAACCTGGTCAACAACTACAGGAAACGTCTGACCTCTGTAATTGTAAACAAAGGTTTTGGTACCAAATATTAAGTTCTATTTTTCTATTGTATCAAATACTTATTTCATGCAATAAAATGGAAATAAATTTAAAAATCTAACAATGTGATTTACTGGAATTTTTTTGTAGATTCTGTCTCTCACAGTTGAGGTGTACCTACGATGAAAACTACAGATCTGTCCATTCTCTGTAAGTGGGAAAACTTGAAAAATCAGCAGTGTATCAAATACTTATTTGCCCCACTGTAGGTTTCGGGGGCAAACGGCTACAGTTGCACATCAGTATACCAACAGTCCAACTGGCTATTGTCAGTCTGCAGACTTTACCTAGGTCATTCTGTAAATTAGTATTAATGTAAATAGACATAACACATTACACCAAATTCTCCGAGTAACTGAACTCTTACAGAAATCCACTTCAACTGACATTTAATGTCAAAATAATATTCATATCCCACCACAAGAACCAGCAGTCTGGCAGATACATATTCAGCTGCCACTTTATTGGGTACACCTGTACAGTCCAATGCAAACCAAGACAATTTAAAGTCTACTTTTCTGATCCCTGTGTTGTTCTGGTTTGACTGGCACTTGCATAGAGGTGTTAGTTCAATATGTTTTAGCACCGAGGTCATAATCAGTGATTGTGTGAGACTGTAGTGGATTCAGAAGTATTTCTAACATTCGGCCCCTCTCATGTATGTCCATATGGAGGATATAACTTTAGAAACACCTCAGTATAAATCTAGTACCACAATACCTTTGAATATGATGATTTACACACACTAACAAAATGTGAACCATAAACCACAGTAAAGACAGCTGTGGCAGAGCCGCTGTATTGGATTGCCAGAGACTACAGCTGTATCTAATAGAAATGACCACTGAGTGTAAAGCCCCTTTGACACATGCATTTCATTTAATAAATATGATGGTCATTTTTTATGGCATCTCAGATCTGAGTAATCGCCATAATCACAACAGCAACAACGCTTGGACAAAGCATTTTCATCATTGCGCATGCCTGGACTGACCTAAGATAAGAGCACCACAGGGTTACATGTGCACAGAGAAGGCAACGGCAAAACCTAAGCGCTCAGTAAAAACAAGGTTTAATAGAAGAGCAGTAATGTACAGCAGTGGCAGCAGAGAGGAGACGACGATAATAACTGGTGACTTCCTGGTGATGTTGACCTGAGCAGACCGTAAAAGGGGTGTGTGATGAAGACAAGTGTTGAAATGGGACAATTCTCCCCATTGTTTCCAGGGTTATCACAGTACATCAGAGAATAAACATGATCCTGGAGGCAGATGACTAAACAGAGAGATTCAGAAAAGGACAAGTTGTGTCAGCCCTGAGTAAAGGTGTTAGGAAGCACTGAGCAGCCTTAAATACAGTGACTTAAGGTGCTACTGGGACACTGAGTCCATACTTCAGAGGTACTGTGCTGTAGTGTTCTCTGCTCGTATCACACACCCATCAGCTGAAGTCATCTGGGATGAGCTGCATCCAGAGGGGACACAGTGGTCAGTGGCTGTCTGACACACCATGTCTGGAGCATGTCAAACTCATGTGTCACATATAGCGACTGATGTCAACATCCAGATTGTGTGGCATTTGGCTGTGGTGGGGATGTCTGAGTGTAGCTAGAAGAAAACTTTGTCAGTGCACACAGGCACAGTATTCTATCCACCTGGTAGAAAATGATAAAATTGTTCATCTCTTTGGTTGACTCTTCTGAGTGAGATGCCAGCTCCTCCTCCATCTTCCTTCTAGACCGTTGTGTGAGTGGATGAGCTTTTCAGGCTTTGTCATGCTTTACAGGGTCTTCACAGCAACAGTAACATGGCTTCCAACCTTCCTCACTCTCTCTCAGACAAGGCCACCAGGTGAGCGTCAATCGCCGACTCTGACAGAATCCTGGAATACACACATACAAGCCAACGGCCATCACATTTGTCTGCCACATTTGAAAAGCCGTAGACACACCAACATGTTGAGAACACAGTCATGAAGGCCTTACTTTGATCTTATCGTTTTAGTTGGAGCATAAACTTTGAGGGAATTTCCATTACAACAATCAGAGCCAAACACATTGCCATGTTTTTTGTTGTTTTTCCTAACCTCTTTTTAGTTTCAGCACACTTGAGAAGCTTCAAAGACCAGGGCAATTGTGTCTGTTAACTGCATGATTTGTGGAACAGCAAAGATGAATACCCTTTTGTGACATGTTTCCTGAAGGTTTGGTTAAGCCCATCTGCCTTTCCAGCCTGCACCAACCTGCTTCTGTAACACCCAGTCAGAGCAGCAGCTGGGCAGTGATGCCCATCCACTGCTACCTGTGGCTATACTCACTTGAACCTAGGTTCCTGTGTGGTGACAACTCCCACCTCCAGCTCCGAGGGCTTGAAGTCGATGGACAGAACAGTAGACAGACATGAGATAGCAGCCTGTTTAGAGACAAGAGGGGGAATCATTGAAAAACATAAAGGGTCAGAGAGGAAAAATGTACATTAAACATCGCACGTCTGAAACATACATACAAAAGCACAGAGCTCATAGTGTCAAATTCCCTAGAAAGCCTAGGGTGCTTGTGACTGTTACCAGTGAGCTGCACAGCAGTGTGTGTATGTGCATACAACTGTGAGCGTACATGGCTGCAAATGCAAAGAGAGGAACAGCTGTGTTTCAATGTCTGACATCTTAACAGATGTTTTGCCTTATAGACAAATGAAAAGAGCAGCAGCACGTTTACCCACCTACTCTGCAAGCATTCCAGTGAACAACAAGTTGTGGAAGAGGGGGCCATTTCAAATGTTACATTAAAATGAAATACATGTAGAAATGTTGCACTTGTTTGCTTTGGCCTCTTAAAACAACAGATTGTATTAATATCAGGATATTCTGACTTTGTAAAACTAAACCCATTACTCCAATATCAGGTCCTTAAATGCATATCCAATGCAAATCCATAAAAGGGCATGAGACTGCAGGGCCATGTGCACACACAACTCTCACACAGAAACGGAAAGGAAAAGTTGAAAAAGCCAGGAATGCTACAAAGAAAGTCTAAGGACACTGGAGCAGCGAACTCCAAACCAAAGAAAAACTTGAGCAGCTTTGAAGTAGAGAACAGTGAATGTTTGGTTTTTAAGTGATGTGATTCCTAATTCTAAGCTACAAATAATCACACTGTAAAAGTTCAATTAATTTTAAAACTTTAAAAATAATTGCTATTGTAACTTAAATCTTATACAACTATAGAACTAAGGAAAACTAAATAACCAGTTATTTTACACACGTCACCCCTCAAATGTGGGGCAGTGTGTGCAGATTCTGTTCTTACCTAAGAACAAATCCCAAACAAGAAAACATTGGTCAATGATAGCATTGTCATGAAAAGTGGATTTTACAAACATATTAGTTCTTTAGAACTGTTGGTGAAAGAGACCCAATGTTTTCAGGCTAATAACACACAATTATGGTCTTTTGTGTGTCTACTATTATCGTCATGAAAAGTGGATTTTACAAACATATTAGTTCTTTAGAACTGTTGGTGAAAGAGACCCAATGTTTTCAGGCTAATAACACACAATTATGGTCTTTTGTGTGTCTATTGAACACACATTCAACACTGACAGTGCTGATGGAAAAGGGAACTGACCCCTTGGATTTAAACCTCAACAATCCTTTTGTAGCATGAACCTCAAACAAGCACTTCCTGGTGCTGTAGATCAGAACTGCACAATGCTCAGGAGGAATTCGGGACTGCTTGTCCTCAAAGAGATGCTTCAGATCAGACAGTCACAGGATGTCTGTGATGCCAGCTCTCTGAGCTCAGTCCACAGCATCTCTGTTGGGTGGAGGTCTGGGGTCTGACTGGGCCACTTCAAAAGGAGGATTTTCTTAGTTTGAAACCCATTTCATAGATTTACTTTACTTTTATAAGACAAAGTAGGTCTAAGCCACACCTCCACCACCTCTTGTTTCATTGAGTGGACTCTAGGTTTGCTAATTCCTGACTCCAGTGAGCTTTTGTTGGTATCATTAGCCAAGGGGTTCACATGTTTTTCCAAGCCTGCCCTGTGAATGTCTGAATGACATATTCAATACTGACATCCATCCATTATCTACTGCTTCTCCTGGAGAGGGTTGCAGGGGGCTGGAGCCAATCAGAGCCCGCACTGAGCGAGAGGTGGGGTACACTCTGAACAGGTCAATATTGACATGACCAATACAATTAGGGATGCACCACTACCACTTTTATCATACCGAGTACAAGTACATACATTTGAGTACTTGCCGACAGTGTTGGGGAAACTACTTTGAAAAGGTAGCTTTGGAAACTATCAATTACTTCACACTGGATGAAGTTAAACTACTCTAGCAAGAAATGTAGGTTGGTCAAGTTACTTAGAAAAATAAGAATCAATGTACACGTGATACAAAACTATAACACAGTAAAAAAGAACTCACATGCAAGCGGAAAATGCCACTCAGTTGAATTTATTTACCTTGAGTCCTAAACAAAACAGTCCCATCTGGGCTTTTCAAAGTGATATAGTTCTTGTAAACAAATTTGGATTTAATGATTTAAAACAACTGCATCTTGACCATTTTACTGACTAGCTCTGGTCTACAAAAATATAAAAACTGTGTTATATCAGTTCTGCAACATCAGACTTGCACAAACAACTGTTTGAATAGCCCATCTTTTACTGCTACCTCTCAGAGCAGAATCTCTTGTTCATATGACACATGAGCAGTCTCTCAAAGTTCTTATCCACAAGGCAGTTAAGGTTAATGGTAAAACAAAAATGCAGCTATTTCCCATATGTGTGTGTGTGTGTGTGTGTGTGTGTGTGTGTGTGAGAGAGTCACATACCTCTATAATTTGTTCATAGGTCCAGTCCAGCTTCTTCTTCACTTTCTTCTCCAGGAAGCTGGTGGCCTCGGCCTGTTTTACTCCAGCTGCCGTGGCCTTAAAGCCACAGTAGTAGCCAGCTGGATCACACTTATACAGCTGTGGACCCAACTCCTCATCCAGTCCAACCACTATCATACCTGGAGGAAGGACCCAGGGCAGAGGAGAATGAAGACTGGACAGAAGAAACAAGTGCAATGTAGTGATGTGGCTGTGATGATATTTAAAACTAAGCTGTGATGAAAACCTTACAAAACAAGAGAACACTAAACCCTTTTAACTAATTAGTCTCTGGTAAAGCAGGTTTCACTGAAGGTCTTAATACACCATGCAGTGACAGGACATAAAAGCAATGGTTATGGAGGAACACATACTGTTATGGACCAGGATGACAATGATTGATTTTGGACCTTTTGGCTAAACATACGTCATGGACAACCACTGAGGATATTTTTGACACACATGGACACTACTCACAGCAGCCAAGTGGCCTCATCTCCGCGTTCTGTGTGTAAACCTGGGAAATGTCAGCCATGCGTTTACACAGCATCTCCACGGGGATCTCATAGCCGTATTTATACATCCAGTTAGCTGCTTCATATCGTGCTCTCTGCACCTGAGACCTGCCGTCAGCTGCAGAGAGGAACAGACAGGAAGAGCATTTCATATGAATCATGTACTGACAGCTACTGTTGGCAGTAACATCTAACGTTCTTAACCATTTAATGGCTGAAGATTTTAAGTTATATAATCATCAGCTGGATGAGACGGTGCTTACCAGTCATGCCGGTCATAACACAGCCAATGTTCTCTGTGATTCTGAACAGATGTGTCACTGTTGAGGCAACCAATAGCTTGTCCTGAGAAAGACACAACCACCATAATGACAACAGGGGAATATGACCACATGCTGTGTGAAGAGACAAAAACACAACTCCTGTGTATTTATACTGTGTCCATTCAAATGTACACTGACTGGGACTTTCTTCTGTGTGACAACCACAACACAGTCCTTCCCTCTGACCGCTACAGAGGTCAGTCCTCCCTGGTTGATGGCTTTGAAGGCGTATTCTGAAGACAGACAAAAGGGAATAAACAGACTACTCACGCACTTTCAAATGTTTCACCATTGCAGGCACTTTTTTAAAAACCAATAATCAAGCTGTCCAGTTGCTTTGTATATGTAAATGTACATACATGTGACTTTATCTCTAATAAAATGTCCCTTTGAAACATATATAGTGGTATCTCAGTTTAACAGGTTTTCTTATGACAAGATTTGTCCAATGTCTGACGCATTTAGTACAGCTCATAATGTATCAGAAAGGAAAACGAGCAAAAAATAAAACCCCTTAACGTTAGTGTACTAAAATAAATAGTATTGTATACAGTTATTAACTTATAGCAATGCAGACACATTCATTTACATAAAATAAGATAAAAAGATAAACTGGTCTTTCTTACCGGTTCAGGTTCATAACGTGGAGAGACCAGTATGTGGAACCACTTAACGTGAAACAGCATTGTTCAAATTTGGGATTATTTTCTTGATATACCAAAAAGGCTAGGTATAACCATTAACATTAGCTAAATTAAGATAGCAATGTCAGCTGTCACAACTGCACGGGTGAGTTATTTTTAATTGCTTAATTAGATTTCTTTTTAGTTATTCATATATTAACTAAGACGCTGTTATTTCTCCCCTACCAGTGTACTGAAATACCCGGTCTGTAAGCTAAGCTTTGAGCTGCTAACTGCTAACTGCTAGCTTGTTAGTCAGTTGGCCAGCAGTGATGACAGAGCAGCTTGTTACTTTCTTTCATTTCTTACCGACTTGGTAAAGTCTTCCCTCCGGGGAGAAGATTGTGATATGGCGGTCAAATCCTGCGCTTGACCCCCGAGACATAACGGCTGGAAATAACTGAAGTAAACAGTTGAATTATTAGACTGAAATTGAAACTAGACTGAAAGGTAACAGAAGGGAAACATGGCAAACCTCTGCTCCGGATGTGCTCTGTCCGACTGAAAGCTTCTACATCCGGGTCAAACTGTAGAGTTGTAGTTTTCAGTTATTCCCTCACTGAAAACAGTACCCAATCTTGTTTACTGTGTGGATGCTGAATCAGCATCCACAGTATAATTTCCTGGTCTTTATTATTATTCTTCCGTACGTTTTTTGGCCCTTAACTACTTCAGCATACTTTCAGCTAAAAGAACCATTCAAATATCAAAATGTTCAATTTTGGAATGGGAAAATCTTCAAATCTTAACTTTAGCATACTTTGTTACAAAAGCCATTCTGGTATCAAAATGTTCAGCTTTTCCAAGGTCAACAATTGTGTGTATTCAGCTTTTTTGTAACTTTTAAAAATATTTGGGTTTGTTCAGAAATGTTTTCCCCATTCAAAGGAATGGTGAATTCTTCAAAACCTCCTCCTCTTTCAGCCTTAACCAGTTCAGCATACTTTCACCTAGAAAAACCATTCAACCTTTAAACAATTCAGCAAATCTTCAGCTATTTAGGGTTGCTTTTTGATATCTTTTACAGATTTTGAATTCTCGCAGTTTATGTGTTATGGTTATTTTGTAAACTTATTTACATTTATTTATTAAAATTACATGGCACATTCCACAGAGAGTGCTGCCTCACTCTGCCTTAGGCGGCCATAGAAAAAACGATTCAGAAAACCCGCTCGAAGGAAAAGTTAGGGCATTTGTAAATTGCCACAGATCCTTCATTTTCTGGAATATCTTGACATAAAGGTGATGAACATGTTCGTTGAAACCTCCTGCCGCTCATAGTGAAGAGATTTTTCTGATAGGACTTATAGTTTTTCTTCAATTGTCAATTGTTCGAAGCCCATGTTTGACTGAAATCTGCTGCAGTGTCCTCAAACTGCTGAGTCATTTAACGATGCACCTGCTACTTTTACACACACAAACAGCATCAGAATAACATGTACACGCAAATTAAAACCCATATAGAATCCAAGCAATACAGTGATGCACAGTGGCACACCGGCACGCACGCGCACACACACACAGATGGGTCTGCCTTCAAAATAAGATCCCAAAATATGCCAAATCTTCAAAATAAAAGCCTCTGATTGCAAACTGTTTTAATGAAAGCCCCAAAACATGCCAGAATTTCAAAATAAAATCCCCTGAATACAAATTAAGCTCACATGAAGGCCCCAAAATGTGCCTGACTTTCAAAATAAAAGCCCAGTATATTAACTGAACCTCACGTAAAGTTCTGGAAACATGCCAGATTTTTAGCTTTAGCTTTATTCTGAAATTTTTGCCCCATTCAAATGAATGAGGAAATTCTACTTCAGTATACTTTCAGCTATTTCAGGTATCAAAATGTTCAGCTCTTCAATGACATTTATGGTTCTCTTTAGAATTTTTCTAAACTTCATCCTTTTTAAAATATTTAGCTTTATACTGAAAATTTTGCCCCATTCAAATGAATGGAAAAATTCTACTTCAGGATACTTTCAGCTATTTCAAGCATCAAAATGTTCAGCTCTTCAAGGACATTCATGCTTCTATTCAGAATTATTTTAAACTTCATACTTTTTAAAATATTTAGCTTTATTCTGAAAACAATGTTTTTACAAGACCACAGTTACATTCAAAGCATGAGCATGAGTATGGTCAGTGCTTGGTCAGGCACAGCCATCGCTGTGGTATTTCATAGGTGCTCCTGTCCTCTGTGTCATCATAGGGAATGTGCCATGAGTCTCCTGAAGTCTGGACAATGGTGTCATAATCGAGAATACTCTAAGAGAGAGCGCACACGCACACACGCACACACACACACACATACATACACTCAGTGTTAATTTGTATGTTTCTCTCTTCCTCTGTAGAATTCTCTGTTCTCCTACCCTTCCCTCTTCCTCACCTGAAATCGGACCCTCTTGCCTGCTGCAACATATCCATCCACCACCAGCTGATGGCCTCGCTGCCATTTGAAGAAGAGCTGTCTGGTGGCTATGTCTGGCAAACAGGCCTTGTGGTCCCTCATCAGGTCCTTACTCACAAACAGACAGTGGTTCCCAGAATGCAAAGTGGCATACAGCAGGAAAGGGTCATCCTCGGAACTGGCAGACACATTGACAGATAGGTGTAAATTCATTATAAATGAAGCCTTGGAAGAACAAAAAAACTGTAAATAGTTGCAGAATATCAGTGTGCTGAATGCTACATGCAAGTTCATATTCCTCATTCTGGCTTATCTTATTAGCCAGCCACCTACGTGCAGCATTTTTCTGTGACTACGTCAACAAAAACCTTTTGATCTTAGACCAGCTTTGGTCAGTGCATCATGACTGGATGAATGAATTGGGATGATACCAAAGTCTTATTTTTGTAAAGATGGCACTTCATAAAATCATAGTTCCCAGTAGCCTGTGTTGTTTCTACAGTGTAAAATGTATTTCATATGTTTTCTATGAAGTGTATTCCATACTCCTGTTTTAAATACCAGCTACTCACATGTTTTCAGTAAAAAAGCAATGGGCTTGCTGCTGGATAAGTTTCATGTCATGTCTCTCCCAGGATCTGCAGGGTTGCAGCATATGTTTCCGCCCCAGCACCAGAATAGTCAGGCCCTGATGCTTGAGCTCCGACACTATCGCCAACAACTGAAACACACACACATTCCTCAAAATCTTTATTTACAGTCACATTAATAATGAAAACATAAATATTTAATGAGACAAATGTCTGTCTGGATGCCAGTTCCATTTAGATGCAGCCACATCTATTGTAAGATAGGATACCCAAACATGGCGTCCACTCTCGTACATTCTCAGTTTGCACATGCATAACTGCACATTGACTTTTGACTGCTGCACATGCTGCTCCCATGTAGCATACATTCTCTTATTATATTCTTATATATTTTTATTATACTGCTGCATTTGCTGCTTAAAGTGCCTTAGATTTTGTGTTACTTATTCATCTACTTTATATTTCATTTGTATTTTGTGGCATTCATGTGGACGGCAAAGTAAGAATTTCATTGTACAGGGAAACACGTTTCCTAACTGTGCATATGACAAATAAACACTTTGACCTTTGACCTATATTGTTTGCATTTAACATCCAACACTGGCTGTTGGAATGTGTGTGTGTAGGTCTGCATGTGGTTGCCTGTTAAAAATATAAACAAGTGAATTAGAAATTTAGCAGGTTTTGCAACAAAAACACCTTACAAAGACACTTGTTAGTTTTCCTTTTATTTGTCACCCATCTGTATATAATCCTTTTTTACCATGTTAACAGCATTATCTGTTAAACATCAGCATTGTTAGCATGCTAGCATAGCATTTAGCTCAAAGCTACTTACGTACAACCTTACAGTGTTGCTAGTGTGGCTGTACATTCTCATTCTTGTTAATCATAAATTCAGAAGGTATTTTCAGGTTTCATATAACTGAGGTCTGATTTCATTCATCAAGGCATTTAAATAAAAATGCATGCCCTGATGTAAATGTCAATGATTTTTGCATTAATTTGTTTGGCTTTCCCATGAATTAGATGAGTAGATAGAGAAATGCATTTGTCAGGTTCAAAATTTCCTTATGCGGGGATGCTGGGCAGATACACTCACAAACATCCTTGCAGAGAGGCCAGAAGTGGGCAGGCAGACAAGTAGGTAGGTTGTTACAATGAGGTGCTGGCCAGTTAAAAAAGCACCTCCTACACACATTTGTGATTCACATACAAACACACACTGCAGGATTAGTCATTGTGAAACTTGCAGAAAAGCCCCTGGGTTGGACAGACATGTATGTAGGAAAGAACCACTAAAGTCTAGACTGTGTAAACTCTGTGTGTGTGCATTTGTGTATGAGCAGGGGGGATTCTGAGTAAGCACTATTAGAGTAGCATCCCCTTCAACATATTTAGTTGAATTCTTGTAATCTTTTTGTGTATCACGTTTTGCATGCAGCTGCGTCTGTGTGTATTCTCACCATCTCTGACCGTCTGTTCTTGTCGTTGCTGATACTGGCTACATTCAGGCCATCCACAACCACATCAAAAGTTGGCTTCCTCTTTACAAACGCTTTGAATTTCTCCAGCTCCTATAACAGACACACAGAAACAGAGGGATAGAAACAGAAATGAACAGAGTGAGGGTGATATATGCATAACTAAGTCAGTGGAGGAAAAGATAAAGACAGGCAAAGTATAGCAGGTTATTTTGCCTTACTGTACAAAATATTTGAGTTTGCAGATGACAGAAGTTTCTTTGAGATACATGAAAATGCAACAAGGCTAAGAACTGACACCAACTGAGTAACAAATGAAAGATTGTGTGCAGCTCTATGAGGCCTTAGGATCAGCCAGCAGCAAAAGCCCATGAAATTCACAAATAGGTGCAGCAGACACATGGATTTTTTGATTTGTTCATTGCAAACAGCTGAAAGTTTGTACAATTTGCCAATACACCTATTTTGAAAGGGGGGTTGAATAATTTTGACTGCAACTGTATAAGTAATAAGTCTGATATATAAAAGCATCTATAGATATTCACTGTCAGTATTATTAAGCTTAACTGTAGCATCACCACAGCACCTAAAAATGCAGCTAATAGTTTCAGATTCAGTTGTACCCTTTAAACCCACCTGAGGGTTCCATTCTAGTCAAGCACTAAAATACAGGGTTACAGCTTTGTACCATAACAGGAAAGCAGTGCTTCATCAGAGTAGGAACACTGTTAGTACTTTCACTTTTAGATATCAGTAGTATGGAAATAGGCTGCTGTGAATTCCCCTGGACTTGAAACTTGGCTGTGTGTACACTGTCACGCACAAGGTGCACAGTCAAAATGTGATTGTAAAAGCATTTAACATTTCTGCTGCGATAAAACCAGATAAAATGCCTGCCGAGTCCTGCTGATGCTCCAGTATGTGTTCTGACTGCATTTATTCACCAAAGACACACACACGCAGAATGAGACAATTAATTAATTATGCAACAATAGCGTGCAGCTTAACACTGGAGTGTGGCTCTGGTTAAGAATAGGGAGATGTACACACGTGGACAAAATTGTTGGTGAGAAACTCACAATGGTCAATGAAATAACGTGAAACTGACAAAAGCAATAATAAATACAAATTTACTAAAAATTAGCTCATGAAAATCAGACATTGCTTTTGAATTGTGTTTCAACAGAAGCATTTTAAACAACAAACTAATGAAACTGGCCTGGACAAAAATGATTGTGTGTTAGCAAATTCCAGTCTCGCTTTTATGATTTTTGTTTTTTAAAATGCTTCTGTTGAACCACAATTCAGAAGCAGTGTCTGATTTTCATTAGATAATTTTCAGTTAAATTTTATTTATTATTTCTTTTATCAGTTTCACATTATTTCAGTGACCATTGTGAGTTTCTCTTTCTTTAATGGAAGAGTACCAACAATTTTGTCCACGTGTGTATGTTTTAGGTGGAAGGCAAGAGGAATTAATAGAATTATACTAATGAGTGATAAACAGATGGAGAAGTGGACATTAGAAGAGGAGTTGGTTATGAAAGAGTAGTGGTCCAAAATCATATTGAAAAATAAAGAGAAAAGTTAGAACAGATAAAGGAGGATAGACTGGGTGCAGGAGGAGGAGGAGGAAGAGAAACATGCAGAGAAAGTCCAGTATAATTATCCAGGGACTTTCCAGTTGATATGTGAAACCAGCTCATTGTGCTGCTGTGGATAATATGTCTGGTAAAACACATACACACACTTGTATGCATAAGCTTACGGTACAACATTGAAGTGCAACATTTACATTGCGGTGAACGTGAAGTTAGCTCAAATTTTAAAAAATAAATCAGAGGACACTACTGTGGGACAGTCAATGTTGTAGCAGAATTTGTACATGCTTAAACATTCTGCTCTTGAAGCTTACAACTGTGTCCAACACACGAAGCTTCTATTTAGCCTTATTAACAGTACGTACACAGAAACACAAAGGCAATTGTACAGGGGGTACAACGTATGCAATGCAGCTTATCAAAAATACATCCTTTGTGAAACTTACTGTAGGGTGTTCTAGTTTTGTCCAGAAATAAGGATGAACAAAAAAGAACTGACCCCTAATGCAGTACATTAACACTACAGACTACAGCCTCACAAATGACCATGTTTGTTGCAGGTTTGCCAGAGAGAAGTTGACTGTAACATAATAGGTTTCACAGAGGCTCAGACAGCTGCAGTGAACACCACATACAGACAGAAAGACACTGCTCCTCTTCCCCTCTCCTTGTCCATCCGTCTCTGTCCCTCCCTGCATCTGATATTTCACTGTTGTCTGAAGCACACAGTTTGCCCTGAAAAAGGACTGCCTTAAAACACTGTTTGCCCTGAAAAAGGACTGCCTTAAATAGGGGATTAATAAAACCAAGTTAAACTGCATTCCTGTCTACATTCCTCTGCCTGTCTGCTTGGCGGTAGGTGGTTGTGGTCCAGTTTCACATGGTGCTCCACATGCTGGAAATCCCCTCAGTTTAACTAACTATTCCATCAACAAACATCCCCTGACTACTGAAAAATACCAGGCAACACATGCCAACTTTGGTATCAGAAATTAAATATGGCATATTATTAACTACATATTACTAATGTGGCCAAGTTTCTTTTTGGAAGTATTTCAGGTGAATAAACCTTTTAAGTTTGTTTTAAGTACAATACGTTCCAATCCAGTGCAAATCTTGTTCCCTGGTGTTTTCTCCACACAAACAGCACATATATGAATGCAAGATAAAGTGATAAATGCCTTCTCCTTTATAAAAAGGGCATACAACTTATATACACAGTCCTCAGTTTGATTGCATTTGTGTGCTGCTCAGTTTGCTAGTATCAAGATCATAACTGGATGTGGTGTGAGTCCTATCACTGTGGAAGAATGCAAACGGTGAACTGAATAACTGATACCATCACTGACAGAGCCTTCAATGCCAGATTTGCTTTTTATGACTGGAGCAGCATGCAAAAAATGTCAAAATCATTTAATATAAAAGTGTGCCAACCTACTGTGCAAAGCTGCAAGGAGGATTACCTTTAAAGGAATAGTTCAACATTTTGATAAATTCCCTTATTTACTTTCTTGTTGCAAGTTAGATGAAAAGATCAATACCACTGTCATCTTGGTCTGTTCATTAAAGACTGGAAATAGGGGAAACCAGCTAGCCTGGCTCTGTCCAGGTACCACAAAGGTTCACTTATTCAAATTTTATACCTCCTTTGTATAAGCTGTAAAGTGTAAAAATGACAGTTTGTGATTTGTTTATTGTTCACAAAAACCTGTGTTGAATGCTAATAAATTGTATTAGACGCTAATGTGGTTTAATGATGCAGCTTAGCAGACCCAAATAAACCCCTGTGATATTTACTGAATGCATAGAATCTTCCATCAATGGGACTTATCAGGATTTAAAGGAATAGTTCCACATTTTGGGTCATCGCATGAAATAAGCATGTCTGTCCAAGAAATAACCACATAACCCCCCCACTCGTAAAACAGAAAGGTGTCATTTTCATAGAGTAAACAAACAAGATACAACATGTTAATCTGTGAGCTTGAGAGGAGCTGATAATTGACTTAGCTTCCTTTAGCTATCTTTGCTCCCTAGTTTCCCATCTTGATGCTAAGCTAAGCTAACCAGCTGCTGGCTGTAGTTTCATATTTAACATACAGAGTAGCATCAGACTTCTTGCTATTAAAACTATTCCTTAAATCTCTGTTTCATGTTTCCAAATCCTGCTATGACTTACTATGATTTAATGTAATTGTTCCATAAAACTTCAAATTAAAAAGTGATGATTTTGTTATGCTGGCAAGGATAAATACTGGAAACTACAGCTAATCACTTATACCTCCTTATCCCAATTGAAAAATTAGACTATGAAGGCCAAAGAACCCCAAAACTCTGGGGATGGTGGAGACCACTGGTCTTTATTGTCCTCTGTGTCCTGGACTAATCAGTAAATTTACAAGGTCATACCAGTTCTGAGAAAAGAACCAGTGTAGTCTTGAGCAAGATGAATAGAAAACTAGTTGAGCCTCAATGTGTCTGAAGCTCAACTTCCTCTAAAACATCATCAAGGACACCGCGATCATTTCTATTCATAAGATGTTTCACTCACATTCATATAGATAGTGAAAGCATTTGTTTGACCAACAAGAGTCTGATAAGCTGCTTCAGCAAACCTCACCAGTCTGGTGCCTCATATGAACCAATGGTGCCATCCAGCAGACATTAGAGAGAAGGAGCGGGACAGCTAATATACGGTAATGCTGCTTGATAAGTGAGGCTCAAATGCATGTCTGACTTTTGGGTTCTGAAAGAGAGTAACAATTTTAATACAACACAGATTTGTTACTCAGGATTAAATCATTCCAATTACAAAACTAACTAAAAGGTTCCCAAACCTGTTAAAAACAAAAGTTCACCTAATGTTATTAGTTAGTTATTAGTTAGCACACCAGAAAACCACATCTTTAAAAACATGATTAGAATAATGCATTACTCATGATCTGTATTAACCTAGATGTTTAACTGCATATATGGTAGATTAAACATAACAGATCAACTGTACGAGCAAATGTATTAAGAACAGAAAATAAAATTAATCTGGTAATACCAATTTATAATTCTGTAAATTGAAAATAAACCTGTGCACAATGCAACTCTTTTTAAATTCTCGTAGTTATCTATTTAAGCAATTTAAATTCTACTTTTCATGATCATCCATCTGAATAATTAGAGACTTATTCATACTTTTTAAGTCATGATAACATTGCTTTGATTGTCAGTGTGTATGTGTATATATACACACCTCTGGAGTGGTCTTGTTAAAAACATCCCGTCCCTGAATGATGTCAGTCATCACTCTGTCTTTCAGGTGCTGGTACTCCTCAGCAGTCAGCTGGATGGACTCCAACTCTGACCGACAACACCTACACACACCCCTAAACACACACACATACGTAAATGACACACACCATCATACTGTAGACACACACACACACGATAACTTTGTCCAGCCACAAAAATAGATTAAATACACACCTTTGATAGCACATGATACACACACATTGCGATTGGGTAAAGATAAACAGAAATCAGACACACATAACATACATCTTTTGCAACACATACAGGGGTGAAAAAAATAGATAGGGTTGGTAGCAGAATCATAAATACTGAAATGGGTCCATGTATGGTAATGAGTGGACAATCGATGATGACAGGGTGTGGACTTTAATGATAATAAAACAATTGTAACTGCACAATTTTCTTCAGGTGTGTTGATGAACCAACTCCGGATCTTTTTTGCATATAATAAAAGGATCTGAAATATAAAACCCTTCTTTCTGAGCAAATATTTATTTCCGCAATAATAATATAAGCTGCTATGAAGATTTTAAGTAGGGAGTGGTGTATTTACTTTGGAGTGGTACTGGTCCAGCTACCTGTCCACTTCTGTCCTGAGAGACTGTAAGACAGGGAGAACAAAAAATGAGAACAAGGAGGTGAAGTGGGCAAAAGTGGCAAAGAAAGAGACTGTGTAAAGTTCATACAGACAACGGGAAGTGACTCTGGGCAAGAATAATTGCAATTGTACCAGTATAAAAAGACAAACATAATGTAAAATACATTCACAAGTCATATCTGAATACAACTTGTCAGGGAAGAATTCAGCAACAATGATCACTCCAAATAAGGTTTTAAAAGCAGCATGTTCTATCTCCATAGTTGATTAGACTGATCAATTACTGTCTTGTCATCAACTAACCAGCTGTGTCTGCATATTAATAAAACTGTATAATATGCAGACACCCTCCCACCTGATCTACCTACCCCTCAGCTTCAATATCACTCTGTTGTACCTCTCAAACCAGGTCTTGATGCTGCTGGCAAGGCTATGCTCAGGGTAGATCTGGTTGTTCCTCATGTAGAGCAGAATTCCCAGCAGCCTCTCCTGGTGTTCAGACTGAGACATGGCCTCCAGCCCCTTCCCACCTTCCTCCGTAGTCTCCCTCTGTCCTTTGAACAGAGCATTCCAGACCTCTTGGCGTGGACTCAGTCCCTTTTCAATTAATTCATCATAAAAAGCCCAGGCAGTTATGATGTCACCATGCAACACTGCTGCTGCAATGACATCGCCATAGTTGCTTGCTGATGGGATAATGACCTGTTGGGATGACACCAAAATCAGGTGCTAATATACAATGTAGGGCATGTCCTCCAGCTCCATGTGTATGTGTTCTAACAAGCAAGTAGCTGTTCACCTTTCTAATCTCATGCAGAATGTTGATGGCTTCCCTCCACCTCACTGTCCGGCTGAAGGACTTGATAAAGAGGCTGGAGGCTCCTGTGTCCAGAGAAGAGAAACTCCCCCGCATGATGTCATAGACCTCAAACACCTCGGCATCATGGCCGCCATGCACGCACAGCACCAAGTACTGTAGTAGCAGCTCATAAGACAGTGTCCCTTTTTCCATGGCTACAAAATTCAGCAGGGACCTGGGGTAGAAAATTTTAAAAGTACTTAATTCATTGACACTTACATTACACTTTGGTTACAGTACACACAGCCTTGGGTACATGTCCAACTCTAAGCAATCTGCCATTTCAATTACTGTAAGGCTATTGGGACATCCACAAAATGTTTTCAAAAATCACAGACACAAACACACTCGTCCTCCCCTCACTTGGCAATATCCAGCTCTGCCCCAGAGGTGAAAAGTGCAGTCATCATCTGGATGTCAAACCGTTGCAGATTTCCCAAAGACTCCTTGAGCTTCCTCCACTCAGCAGCAGAGAGCGGCTGGTCAGGAGGCTGCACCTTTCCTGTGAAACACTCCTGCTTTAGTGCAGAAAACTGAAGCATTTATTCCCAGTGTACACTTTCTGGGCTTCACTAAGACTTCATAAGGCATTAGAAAAACATTATTTAAAACAGATAAGCCATCCAAGCGTCTAATGAACAAGGAAAAAAATCTGGATTTATTTGTGCACACTTATTTAAACGGTTTAGTTCCTGCACAAAATCTGTTGTTAGACCATTGCAGCATATCCTACCTGCTCCTCTAGTTGTCCTTCCTTCAGTCTCATCCTCATTCAGAGAGACCAGAACTGCTTTCTTCTTCAGAATCTCTGTCGTCCTCTTTGCTGTCCCCGCAGCAAACACAGATTTGGGGAAAGAATGCCTCTGCCAATGAGGGGCGCGCCTACTTCTTCCATCCACTGTGTCATCCCACCGTTTCTCTTGTCTTTGTGTGGTGGCCTTATTTTTCATTCCCCCCTGTCCGTCAGTCTGCCCAGTGTTCCTTCTGTCTGTCAGTCTACCACCCAGGTTAGAGTTCGTGTCTCCGGTGCACATAAATCGTGCTGCTGAAAGCACATCATGTGATGACTTACACAGAGTAGTCTTTATAGTGAGGACACCTGACCTTCCTCGGTGAAAAAACGGCCGTAAGGGATTCAAGCATATTCTGACTTTTAATACTATGGTGGAATACATGTTCGGATGTTTAACCTCTGGTCTTTATATCATTTATTACTAAAACTGCACATTCAAATCCGTTATAAATGAGCTGTTTATTAACTTACGTGACACAAAACATTGTAGAAACACTTAAAGTCACTTAGCTCCTTTAAACTACAAAACATTTTCTGCATATCGCAAACACGATAGATAACACGAGATTGCAAGCTTGAGTCGCACACCACTACGTCATCAACATTTGACAGGTCCGGTTGTGAGTTCGTCGCAAGGATGTGTCGTTCACGAATGATTCGTTCATTTTGAACGAATCTTTCCCATGGCTCGAGAACATCGGGTCGTCCCGGGGAGTGATTTGCGCATAAGCTCATTATTACTGGCAAAGCGGTCATGTCACGTTACTAAAACGAACGACTCGAACACGAGGACTCGAAAGGTGTACTAATCTTTTCTGTGAAAGGTTTCTGGCTCAGACTGCATTGCCTTAATTTATGGGGTATGATTAATAATTCTGTTGGGTATACAGAAGACAGCACGGCATAGCTTAGCTTATTTAGGATGTTACGCGACAAAAGACCAAACGAATTTGACCCAAAATATCCGGAGGTGAGGTGATGACGTAACAGACTGCATAGCTTCAAGACACAGTACGATATTACTTATAATATGACCTTGGCTGCATTACAGTTCTTTCTTATTCGAAACGTGATCAATATGTGCGTAAGTAGATGGGGAATTAACATGTAACATTTTAATTATATTCTGCTGAAGTGAACGAAATGACTCGAAAAAAGATTCGTTCATTTTGCTGAACGAGATTCAAAGAACCGA